TACGTATCAGAGATGTACACTACGTCTGAAAAATGCCTTTCAGACGACGAAACAATGACGTAAATTTCAAGTGGGAACGATGGTAGGCACTGTATCGAAAGCCTTTTCGTCGAGCGGGACGACCGTCTCGATATGAATAATACTTTCTATGAGGGTACGAACGGACCGCACGCGAGTGATGCACGTCTCTGATACGTACACCTACACCCTATTTCACGTTTGATACTTTCTTTAGAACTAATAATAACTGTAGTTCTGGCTAGAAGATCACTAATTCAGAATCCTTTTGCTCGGTTATCTGTGCTTCACATACACACTTACCAATGACATATTACCTATAAGGACTGGCGTACATTCATATGTAGTCAGTACACTATCGGGTAAGTAATTCGAGACAACCAGTTGTTAATGACTTGTCCAGGACGATTCCATATCTGATAGCACCAAGCCCTGAACACAGTACCTTAGAGGTATGTGTGAAGTAACTTACAAGTTTGTAGAATCTAAGTTAGATAAACATTTGTTATCTCGATAGCATCGACATCGATGGAGAACACGACTACTACAACAGCAACAATCACAACTGTCAGTACGAGAACCACATCAACAACAACGACTGTTAATACGACTGCTACAAGTGAGTGAACAGAACTTTCTGAGAAACTTCGAATCAAATATGAAAAATCTAAGACGTAATCATGGTAGAAATACAGGTTTTAGTCTCTATAAATTTTGACAGCCTTTCAACTTTGTTCAGTATTCGTCAGGAAAAGATCGGGCATATGTCCTCAATTCTGTAATTAAACTTCGTAAGAATTTTGAGTACCATCTATTCCCGATTACATCGCCCCCTACGCGAATGATCAGCTATTGATTTTTAGAATCATTAGTAATCATGAATTATGCAAAAAGTAACATAGAAAAGTCAATGTTTCTTAGATTTTCTTTTCGGATTTCGAGTGTAATTATAATCAGTTTTTTTATGACAATGCATGTTTTAATCAATACTTATTGATTTTCAATAAACGATTGGCGTGTTCGATAGACTAACATCTATTTTCTGCATCATAATCGTTTTCTGATGGACGAGGTTGAGATATGAGGGTGTAGTTCTTTTTGTCCTCTCATTCCTCAAATAAAATAAAACTCAATAAAAATGCAAGGTGTCTGGTTCGAATCTTAGGATAACTAATTTTGTAGAGATTGAAAAGAGCTACAAAATGAAGTAATTCGAAATTTAGAATACTTTGACGAATACATCGTCATATATTTCCGATGCTAGAGATCATGCGAAAGTCAAAATGGATCACAAAAGTACTCCTATCAATGGATATTCGTCCGAAATATATTAATGCCGTAGTTGTCACAGATGAAAAGTTGCGAAACGAATAAGAGCTGAACTTTATTTATGTTTATGACATCATAGTTTTTTTCGTTATAGAGAAAATAGACAGATTTCATGTTCAATCTCAAAAAAGGCATGCTATGAGAGGAAAGAACATAGGGCACTTGTCTGCCAATATGTATGTGCTCATCACTATTCTTCGAAATAGTAGATTATTGATTTCATTTCTTTGATAGTATCCATGCCTATTTCCTTTACAATACCAAATCTCTTTTATCATCGAATGATCTTTCAATAGTGAATATATAGCTATTTCTAATTATACAAACTTTTCTTCCGTGGCGATCATATTCAACGTGTGACTGATATGATATTATTGAGAAGGATTTATGCAGAGTTAATCGATAATATTTTCTTGCAAAACAAACGTAACCTACTTATATCATCAGACGAAAAAAGAACGATATTCAAGAACAAAAAAAAAAGAAAAATTGAACTTCGTACACATACATTTCTTCATGAGTTCTTTTAATGTTTGACGACCTATCTACTTGCCTAGTAAACGTGAATCTAACTAACTTTATGTGGAAAGAATGAAGCTAAAAGTATTGAATAGACATAAACAGGTTGTCGAGCGAAATGGAGAAAATGATAAAAAATAAGTAGAGAGAAACACTAAATTTGATAGTGAATATTCTCATAAACTGCTGACAAGTGGATGTATACCGAAAAGAAAGATAATGCTGCATGACCAGGTCGCGAGTAGGATTTTTAAATAATCACGTGTGACTTTTACAGGATTTCTAACGTCTAAAGTACATGACAATGCATTCATCAAAGTATTCTGAGTTTCTAATGTCATACAAATACATAGACAAACAGGAACTGATCAATCAATAAAATTTTAATATTAACCGAGCTCTGTAACAAGAAGATAAGTTCAATTAACTTACAGATTTCCTTCGATATATAGTGCAACATAGCAAAGTAGCTTGTTTACCATTTTTATAGTTATAAATAATTCAATCAAATGCTTTTATTGTTTATTTTCACAGACATTGTTAGTGTATTGTGATCTTCAAGCAACTGGTATGGTTATGAAACGCTCAACATTAGCTGCTTGACTACTTTGACGAACATTACTATTCAGATCATTGTACAAAAGACTGTCGGTGCAACATACAGTACTCTTTACAATTCATTTCCGAGCGGGACACTGAGTTCTTCGTATGTTAACAGTGGCTCACAGATCATCTATACATGGACGATTGTTAGTGGAAGAACTATTAACTGTACCAATAGTTCGTACTATGTCACAGCCCAGTTTAATTTGTTGGGAACACCGCAAATAACCAGTGCTGATACCTATGTGATGACAACGACGACGAGTGCCGGGGTAACCAGTATATATTCAGGAAATTTCTGACTGAGAAGTATTCAATATTTATGTCTCGTGCTGGTCTTTTATTCACTATAAGACAAAAAAAAATGAACCATTGACATTGAATAAATCGGCAATTTTACTTGCGTTTGAAATAAATTTTGATCTGACTTCAGCTTCACCTATTTGTATGTATAGTCTATTCTTATCACAGCGTAGTATCTGTTCTTGTCAAACAGAAGTATCACCAAATCACCTGCTCACTTTTCGTCAATATAATTAACATGTTAATTAAAATCTTTCAAGTATTGTCCATTACACAATTTAAGCGTCTTCAGGCATCTCTAATAGCTTGATAAGAAATAGAACTCGTATTTTAATCAGTTTTTGAAATCGTTATTACTCTATATTTCTGTTCAGAAAACAAAAATAAATCATTTCTGACTGAAAAACTCGTGAGCTTTCGAGATGATCTTATCACATGCCGAAGTTACTGTCAATTTTCAATTCAAAGATGGTCGTTCTACGCAAGATCAAGGTCATTAATTATGATTCGTCTGTCAAATGGACAATTGTCGTTGTGCTTTATCCTTGTCAACATAAGCTCAAGTGTGACAAGTCTTGAGTTGAAAAGTTCTTTTTGTGTATTGATATTCTCTAAACAGACAAAATATTCAATATGAAAGTTAAGAAAAAGTAGTATGCTAAATAGATAGAAACAGAGATGTGCTCATGTGAGAGAGAATGCGTATCTCTCCACTTTTAGAAAATTTTCATTTTTTTTCAGTCTAAATCGTGTTTTTTATTGAACGAAGGACGAATTTCGGTCATTATAGTATGTTAAAATGGGAAAAATAGAAAAAATAATTTATATCTGTGGAAATACATTCATTCTGAATATTTTGCTTATATCAAATGTGATCTTTTTCAGTTGGTTGATTAATTAGACATATGACAGAAATAAAATATGAACACATCATCTCAATCACAGTAAAAATCAAGAAAAAAAATCGAGAAAGGTGCGGGTGTGGGTGTGGGAAGTGTGAGCGCATGATTTTCTCACATTCATACACTCATAAGATTGATTTCAAAACGTTCGGAGGAGTCCCACATTCTGGAGGTGGTGCTGGTAATGGACTCCAGTACCTTCTCACTTGCCTAACCTTGAAGAACAAAGAATGATGAAACGGTCACTAGTATAGGAAGGCATGAAGAAAATGTGCTTTTTTGTTTTCGGAAAAACATTTGGATTGAATCATCAGATTTGTTTGGAAACAAATCCCAACAATATACTCGACAGTGTGTAAGGGCGAAATCATAATCCGTTTAAATGATACTTCTATAGTATTCATTAATAACTTATTAAACACGTTATTTGCGTCCTTCAAGGCTAACTGATGAGAATTTTTTCTTTATATTTCTCTTCTTGAAATTTCATATTCTATTTCATACATAGAGCAAGAGAAAAAACCTAATTCGATTAGAAAGATATGACTTATCTCTTCTTACTTTTTGTTAAAGACAAACACTTTCATTTCAAAAAGAAAACTGTTTCATCTCACGCTTAATCCTCTAATTCTCTTTTATTTCTCTTTCAATATCTTAACAAAAACCACCGAAGCTGTGTTCACAACTACTCTCTCATCTCAAAAATCCTTCTGTGCTTCCTGTTGCTACGAATACACTTGAGGGTGTGGGTATGAGAAAAAGAAATATGTAAACCTAGACCCAGACTCACACCTACACCCTCAGCTCATCCTACGCAGACTTCTTAAGGTTTGCTTCGAAATATCTTCACAAAAATATCAAATAGCAGTCGTATGATTCGAGTAGCTGTTCATTTTTTCAATTTTGCGTGAACAATAGAATTCCATTTGATAAACAAAGTCAACAGTATTTTGCAGAGCAGCAAATTCTCCATCGAATGAGTCCAACCATAGGATTTAAAGCTAGGTTTAACTGCCTCAAAAATACAAAGCAAAAGTAGTCGATTTTATCTGAGTCACCTGTTATACGTTTGCGTTTATTTCATTATTTAGTCAATGATAGGCAGATTTATTTGCTTACAAGGTGAAAGAAAAAAGAATACTCTTCATGTACATACAATGCAAAATATATAGTTAACACTATTTCAGATTTTATTAGAAACCCGTTATCAAGTTACATCTTGAGAGCAGTATAAACAGGGTTGTAATACGCTTTTTTCTGAATCTGGTTTGATTTGCATCGACAATTACTTGAATTTTTGTCGTAATTTTACTTCATAGACCAAATATGATGACGTCCGCTGTCGGCAATGACACATTGTCTATTGTTTATCGTCCTATTCAGCATCATGAACAACAACAAGTTATTGACTTGCACTATGCTGTATTTGGAGCTAGGTTTAAATCAGGTTATTATGATCGGTGTTTTATGCCAACAGCATCTCCTCAATACAAAGAAGGTGATACATTGGGTGCGTGGTGTGATGGAAAATTAGTTAGTACAGTACATATTCGACGTCTTATTATTCGATCTGGTGATGATAATGTAGAATATCGCTGTGGTAATATTGTAGGCGTAGCTACTTTAGAAGAATATCGAAAGCAAGGATATTCACGAGAACTTCTACGAATGACTATTGATAAAATGAAAGAGAGAAACGAGTTTGATATATCATTCTTGCGAACTCAAATACCAAAACATTATAGTATCCTCGAATGGGAACAAATATCTATTCCATCTCATATTATTGTAGAATGGAAAAACTTTAATTTTGAAAGTAGCAATGTTGAGTGGCGATCGACAGTTGACGTCGTATCAACTGATGGACAATTTCTACTTAAAATACATTCAAATAAAGCATGTGCATATCAGTTCGATCGATCGCCATTAATCATATTTCAACATTGCACCTGTTGGAACTGGTGTCAAGAGAGGACGATTGTGTGCATTTTAAGCAATGAAGAGCCAGGATATGTAGTCATTAACAATCCAAATGGTTATTCTGATGTTTATGTATCCGAATGGCGAGCACAAAATGTCGAGGTTGAGAAAAAAACTCTTCAAACTAGCAGCAAACGAAATTCGACGGCGGCATCCGAATACAAAATATATTCGGTTTTATGGTCTTCCACAATACATGAACGTAGAAGAACTCGAGCAATGGTGTGATACAGTAACAAAGGAACAAAATGATGACACTATGATTCGAAATATTTGCCTATCAAGCCATGTTTTTGAAAGAATAAAAATTTCTTTTTCAAGTGGAGAAGCAATATTCTGGCCTGGTAATTTCTTTTAATGAAAATACTTGATGATAGGTATCTAAAATATTCCACTTTTCTTTGTTTATACTTACTTTATTGAAATCTAGATTGAAGTAAAAAAAAAGCAGGGTCGCCGTAACAGAGGACTACAGAGGGCTGATCGCCTCCTTTGTTTTTGGAAAAGCTTCGTTTTCTCTAGCAGAAAATGATCGTGTTCTTACTTTCTTCAGAGAGCGAAAATTTTTTTTCAAAGTTTGACCCATTGTTCGGCTCCCTGACTTTTGACTTTCGCGGCGGCTCTCCTGGCAAAAAGTTTTCTGAAAATATTGCATCCATTTTTTTTCGATCTGAAGAAATTTAAAAACTATTTATGGGTGTGAGTGTGGGTATAGGTGTCGGTGTGGAGTGTGGGTGTATGTGAGTGTGAGTGTAGGTACAGTTGAAGAGAAGAACTAAACCCATACCCACACCTTTTGTGATCACATAAGACATCACCCAATCAATTCCAAGAATGATCAGATTTATTCAGATATTTTTTCGAATCGATTGCTTCTGTTAACTCTTTTGTTGACATTCAACGGTGCGGATGTGGTCCTTCTCTATACATCAACACACCCACGATGTTTGTCAATTTCAGTATTTTATAATTAATTTATCAGTAAAATTAACGCTCAGTCGAATTTATTTCATTTTTTTCAACTATGTTCTTCTTTTCTTTTTCAAAAAAAGAATCATTCTTTCGTGGAAAGACAGAAACAATACACAGGTGATACATATTGTTATCATGAATTTTGAACAAAAAAAGATAAGTAGAATTTCATTGGAAATAAAGGCAATTTCTTTAATCAGGTCATATTAACTGCATATTTTATGTTGATAGGTTGTTTTATTGCTAAGAGTTGTCTTTCTTTTTTCAATCATTTTGTCTCGATCGCAGTTATTCATTTGAGTTTAAGATATTATTTTATTCAAAATCAATATTTATTATTTTCTTCTTGATTCGTCCTTTGAGAAAATTTTCAAATGGAAAGAAGAAGGCCGCCAAGTCACCAATGATGAAACTACTGATAATAAAACTAAAAATTAGCCTAAAATATTTCTTTTTATAAAACTCAAGGTCTCAATATGTATTATAGCGCCTCTTTGAAGCTTTCAAATTTCTCCAAATCGATAAATTTAGCATAGAGACATACGAAAATTTATCTAAAACTTTATGCAAAACGTACAGACTTCCTTGATGGCCACTTTGAAAACGGTTGTTTGTGCAACAGGAAATGCTTGTTGGAAGCTTGGAATGTGGACAAAATTATCATTTGAAGATGTTCGAAAAAAAAAACATCTTATGATTGATATTTCTTATAGATTTGATTAAATACATACTATCCATGCCAACTTGAACGAGACTATCAAGCTCAAAAAACTCAGACATTTGTTTCATACATTCCACAGTGGTAATTGAGTCTTAAAATTCTTAATTTATTCATTATATTTCAATTCAGTGAGAATATATGAATGGAGTGGAATACTTATTAGTCCTTAAGATATAAAGCATCATTAACATCATCCATAACAAGCACATATTTTCAGAGATGATTACGTCCATGAGCGATCAAAACAGTGTACTGAAATGATTAAAAAAATTCACACATATTAGAGGTATATGTTGTGGTCAAAATTAAATTCCAGCCAAATTTTAAATTTGTTGACTGGACAAAATTAAAATTCTTTTTTTAATGAAAAGAAAAAGATAAAATTTTAATAAAAAAGCGTATGGATGTGGATGAGGGTGCTTGATTTTGAAGAGTGTTGGTATGGATGTGGGTGGGTGTGGAAGGAGCAAGGTCCTAGGGTTGTTATTTTCCTATTAACTTAAAGAAATTGAAATCATCGGTAATTAAATTTAAAATAAATTAAATTTTTTCCATAGTTTCACTTTAAAAATAAATTTAAAGTATCAGAATTTATATTTAAAATAAATTTAGCTTAAGACAATTTAAATTTATTTCAAAATTTAAGTTCTGAAAAAAATAGTCTAAATTTATTTTAAATTTAAATTACCGATAATTTTATTTACGTATTAATTAAATTGAAAATATAAATTGACACTTCTACAAGGACCTATTGCACCTACACTCATACAATATTTGTTAATAATTTTTTTGAATTAAAAAAGTTGTCGCTACTTTAACTTTTTGTTTTTCTTTACCTTTCTCTTTTCATTAAAAACTAAAGACTTTTAATTTCGTACAGTCGGTATTTCTTTAGCACGTGCTCTACTGTTAATTGATAGTATCAGTATAGCTGGTGCTCTTTTTCATAGAAAAAATGCTCCACATACTAATTGGTATGTGGAGCATTTTTTCTATGAAAAGGAGTACCAGTTATAATGATACTATCAATTAACGGTGGAGCACATGCTAAAGGAATACCCGTCCAGTCAAAATTAAAATTTCAGTTCTGACTGACATTATATTGAGCAAAATCAAAATTTCAATTTTGTCTCGACAAAATTAAAATTTTGATTTTGACCGCAATATACACATAAATGGTAGAGATAGTTGAATGTATGAGTCATTTCAACAAGCTGAATGGATGAGTACATTATCGAGTAAAATACTTTGATACAATCCTTGATCATGATGACATAATATTGGTCGAGACATCTATTCATCCCCAAATTTTCTTTTCCCTCTAAGAGAAAATGCTTACAAAATGTAACTAAAAGTAAAAGCGTGAAGCACATGATAATAAATAATGAGTCAATTGCATATTCGAAAATAATAAGTGATGAGAGTAAACGCGCATTTTTTGTGTTTGTTTTTCTAGATAAGGCTTTATACCGCTAATACGGCTATAGGCAAGTAAGAAAGCAAATCAGTCGCTCTTATTATTAGTGCAAATATATAACATAATAAGAGACCAATATTCAATTCATACGATTAGCAAAAATCAGTCGATAGTTGTTTATATTCACTCAATAAACGAATATTTATCATTGAACTATGACACAAAAGATGTTTTATATGGCACCTATATTAAACGTACCAAGATCAATTCGTGAAGATGATACTATTTGTTGTAATAAGCAAGAACATGTCGAACACAAAGAAAAAGAAGAAAAAGAAGGTGATGGTGACCTTATATTTAAGGCAATAGATGATGAAAATTCTTCAAGAGAAAAACTTGATGAAAGATTTCCATTAACTGATGAAGATATTCATCTTCCTACCGATGATGAACAAACTAAAAAATGTGAATGTACAACTTCATCAATAAGTACAGTTGATGATGAATGCAACAATATATTACCTATCACTGATGGCGATCGACTGTTTAATCTTGTTATTCATCTTAAATCAATTAGTAGAAAAAATTCAAATGAACAAAATGTTGGTATGTCTAATTTTCGTGTTAAACATCGCTTACATCATCATTCAAAAACGAATACTTTTGGGCATTGGAGAGGAGCAATGAAAAAAGCTTTTGAACTTAAAGATCCATGGTAAATCTTGTTCTCTGGACGTTTCAAGAAATGTTTGTATAAACTTTTGTTTGTTTTTGTTACTTTTTTTAGGGAGGATTTTAAAGTTGATAATTATCCAGAAGAAATCGTTATATGTCATGAGTTTGATCCAATTAAACGTATATGGCATACAAATCAAATTACAGTTAGAATTGAATCAAAACCATTTGCACATGGAAGTATGAGGGAATGTTTTCGATTGTAAGTTTATTTTTATTAGTGATTTAAAGTAGATAAAAAACAACAAACTTTTATTTTAGAAAAAAACTCTCAATTTTTTCAACTAATCAAGATTGGGATCGTTCAAGTAATTATATTGCTAAACGATATATTGATGATGTACCAATGGCACGATATTTTGATGATGTTATGATGCAAATGACAACAAAATTATGGGCAGCACATTATAATCAACATAATCCACCGAAAAAAGTATTTTTTTTTTTTTTTTGATTAAATGAAAAACAAAAATAAATAAATTTTTTATTATAATTTGTTTCTTCAAGGTTGATATTATTCAAATGAGTGTATTAGAATTTAAAGATCGTGCTGGTCGGCCTTATTATCACTTAGAACGATTTATTGTAAGATAAACAAATAAATAAAAAAAAAACATTAATTTATTTTCAATATTTTAGGACGGTGATTATATAAAATATAATTCAAATAGTGGTTTTGTTTGTGATGATAATACTCTACGTCATACGCCACAGGTTTCTCTTTTTTTTGTATTACAATAAAAATAGTCAAAATTTATTTTTTGTTTATTTTTTCTTATTGCAAGGCATTTAGTCATTTTACTTTCGAAGCATCTTGTCATGAACAGATTGTTGTTGATATTCAAGGTGTTGGTGATTTATATACTGATCCACAAATTCATACAAGTCTTGGTTTTGAATATGGCGGTTAGAAATTTTATTATTTTTTTTCTTTGAATTTTATCTATCTAGGCATTTTTATAGAAGGTAATCTTGGTATTCGTGGTATGGCATTATTTTTTTTTACACATGAATGTAATCCAATATGTAAACGTCTTAATTTAACATCATTTGATTTATCGCCTGGTGAACGTGAACGTCATATACAACAACATGCATTAAGTTCATCACATGCATCAAATCATCCAGCTCAAACAACATGTCGCGATTCAGTAGAACCATTAAATAGTTTTTCAAAATTTTCTTCATTATTTCGACGACTTCGTTCAGCACCGTTAATATCAGAAGATGATTCAGATGGTTATGTTTCTGAAACATCATCAATTACAGGTGCTAATGCTCGCATACTTAATCATAGTTTATCATTACCACAAGCTGAACCATTTACGACAATACCTAGTGATGAAAATTTGCCGTTATCATCATCACTTAAAAATACTAAATTACCATTATTATCAACAGCTAGTCTGAATAGTCCATCACCTGTAAGTATTTTTCTAAGATTGCATGAAAATTATGTTTTATTTAAAATACATCTTTTTTGTTATGTAAAGGATTCTTCACGTTCACAATCTGTAAGTAATTAAATGAATTAGAAAAAATTGAAGAAAAGTTTTGTTTTACTTTATTTTTAAGGATTTCAACTTAACCATCGAAGATCTTTATAACGCTCAAACTCCAAATAGTTATGGAGACAGTCATCGTCCTTCATCAGTTATGCTTGAAAAAACTGAAATGCGAAAATTTGAAGAAATATCTGCTCCTCATGAAAAATATGAAAGTATTCTTGGACAGGTATTATCAGTTTTATTTTAAATTTATTTATTGACTTATAATTACTTATAAGATTTAACACAAATACAGATATTAGTATCTGCTGTAGAGCCCGTCGAGTTGGTTCTGGATTCGAAAATTTTGGACCTGAGAAGTTCTAGTTTGTTGTGATAACTCTTTGAATGAGAATATCGGTGTCTATGTTAACATCAAAAGTGTACGATTGAGAATGAAAACTTATTCTTCTGGAGAAAACGAAAAACTAGGAGTGTTGTTTTTTTAAACTGTACAATTTCTTTTCTTTATAATCTTGGTATTTAGATCGAACTATAGTCATATCAATTAAAAGTAGAACTTAAATTTTGATTTGTTTTTGGGCAAAATTTGGTATATGTTGTTATTCATGCTCTATTTGGTAGGCATTGTATTTCTATTTGATTGATGTATGATTGTATAGGATACCCCATCTACAGCTTATACCATTGATATCGTTTCATTAACGAAGAAAAGAAAAGAAAAGAAATAAAAATTGGTTACTTTTTCAAACATCATATTAACCTGATTTTTACTTGTTCATGTTTCATTGCAAATAGATGAATGCATGATCAATAGAAACAGAATGTTATATACTACTATATTGTAGTATAAAATTAATTAAATTATTTTCTTTTGTCATAAAAGATTGAAGAAGAAAATTATCGGCTGATGGTTGAAAGAAAGTTATAGCTTGTTCTAAAGTAACCAATTTTTATTTCTTTTCTTTTCTTCGTTAATGAAACGATGTCAAAAGCATCAGCTGTAGATGGGGTATACTATACAATCATACATCAATCAAATAAGAATACAATGTCTATCAAATAGAAAATGAATAACAACATATATCAAATTTTGTCCAAAAAAAAATATCAAAATTTAAGTTCTACTTTTAATGATATGACTGTCGGAAATCTAATTAGATTCAATTCTCTACTCGCCAAAAGATTTTTTTCTATGCCGAAGCCCAAAAAAAAAAAGTTTGACGCATCGATATGAATTCTTCATATAAAGAAAAAGAAAATGATTTATTTCTGAGTTTTGGTTCATATCTGTTTAGAATATATGAGTTATAATAATACGACATTCAACGCAAGTTTTACACGGCCATAAAATATATCGTTATCAATGGGAAATTGTTATTCCTGGTCCTAGTCAAAAACAAAACATAGTCCTGCTAGAACCGAGATTATCTGAACGATATATGATGTTTAATCATGAGTTCGTTTATTATTGAAGTAATTCCATTAATGAATCTCTTAGGAATTGTGCATTGAAATCATTCTTATCATTCATTCGAGTTAGTATTAATTCCTAAGATTATAGTGTTGTTTCTTTGTTGTAAACAATAACTTTTTCAATTAACTTATTTAATCTATTATTAATGAAAACTGTAATAATTTTTTTTTTTTCTAACAATAATTTCTAATTAGTCAATATGTTTTTAATGTAGATTCATCTTGAAATGTGTAAATGTTATCAAGTTGGCAGATTTAGTGAATTAGGTTCCGAAGAATTTGATGAAGAATCAGCATTTTTTCATTTAGAACAAGCAGCTGAATTATGTGTTAAAGAAGCTATATTTATATTAGCAAAAATTTATTTAGATTTACCTCGTGATCTTTTATCACATTATCGTCCAACGGTAGACTTTTAATCTTACCAATAATCAATATAGAAAATGAATATTTTTTTTTCATAGGATCAAGTTAATCAAATCAGTAAAGGTTTAAATTTGATGATCCGTGCTAGTGAGCTACATGAAACAGAAGCAAATCTTTATTTAGCACAACTCTTTGATAATGGTGTTGAAGGATCTTTGTTTGTATTTTTTTAATTCTATTAATCATTTTATTTTTATTTATTTTATTTATTTTAGAGAACCAGATTGGAAACAAGCAACTGAATATTATGAAAAATATATTCGTATACGTGAAAATGAATCGAATATTATTGATGAAGATAGTGAAACTAATGAACCAAGTCAAACTAATTCAACTCAAAATGGAATTCCATTTCATGATCATCATGATACTGTTGCTCGTTTAGCTACTTTATATAAAACAGGTGGACATAATTTATTATGCAATTATCAAAAAGCTGGTAAATTTTGTTTTGTTTTATTTTGTAATAGTCCAATTCAAGTTAATTGAATGTTTTCTCTTTCTTGTTTTTTATTAAAAGGTGATTTATTTAATAAGGCAGCAGAAATGGCAACTGCAGCAATGAAAGGACGCCTTGCTAATAAATATTATATGGCAGCTGAAGAAGCTTATGCATTAGAACCAGATGAAGAGGGTGAAGACAGTTAAATGATTTTTCTTTCTGTATTCGTCCATCACTCCGAGTGATCATTGTCTTTCTACGTGATATTTTTTCTATGAGACATTATTATTACTATTATTATTATTCAATCTTCTTATATTGTGTTCACTTGATTATTATTAGTTTTAGATTTGATAATACCATTAATTTCTTGTACTCATTAACCTTTTGTTTTTAATGTAGTTTAACTAAAAAGAAAAATCATGACACTTGTACAAATTTATGTTACTTTTGTCACCATGTAAATTGTATTCAACTATTTTTCAATAAGGTTTATGTGAAAAAACAAATAAAATTTGGGATAAAAAAAAGAACAAAGGACAGGGCCGCCTAAGAACGTGATTTGGCTCATAGGACTTTTTCACACGAAATCCAGTACAATCATATATAGAATGAAAAGACTTTGATCGATGAGTAATTTAATACAAGATTTGAATTATACTTCAGGTACATTTCAAGATTTCTTCAACCAAATATTCGTCATATGACGACGATGATACCATAGCCTTTTGCATTACCTTTTAACATGTATAATCCGGCGGAGTCAGCTTCTATTATAGCTAGTTAGATAGTATTTTTCACGCGCTACGAAATCTTACAACTTTTAAAATTATGAAAGGTGGGTCAAAAAAAAGTTAAGAATCATACTGTAGGAGCGATGTCAATTATATATATTATATAACATAGATGATTTATCATTTCTGTTAAAATTAATAGAAGCTAGTTTCTGTCATAACGTGTTAAGTGATACTTTGCATGAAGGGTAAAGATGTGTTATGTGTACAATCAGAAAACTGAAGTCGCTATAATGAAATAGGCACATACTGTTTTAGTAGGTCTCGAAGAAGTATGCGTGATTTTCATTTCATGCTGTTCTTTTCAAACGTGAAATACAACATTAAATATGATAGAAGATTCATATCACGATCATCATCTAGATTGTCTGAACTATGTTAATGAATTGTAGTGTGGGTTTGCATGAAAAGTGGATCAATATTCACGATGTGTCTTTATAGCACAGTTTCATGAAGAACAGGGTGTGGGTGTGACAGCCAGTCTTTGGCATCTGGCTGTTGAAAGATGTGTTGTTTCAACATTTTTTCATTCACTTGCTGCCATCAAGTCGCTAGACGCTATTGATGATAGCATGTAGTTGTCCGACGAAGAAAGCAACTCAAATGATAGGAATCAATCGTCTCTTTCGTTGACTAACATAAAACAGTAACGATTACAGCAACGAAGACTCGGGTAAGTGGCTTCGTTTTATATCTCGTAAACTTTTGCAAATACTGTTCAAAGTTTACTGCTCTGCTTATTGCTATTTTTTCTCACAGCATAAACAACAAACACTGCATCAAAATAATTTCAGAGATGAATAAGTCACACGTTTTAAGATCCAAGTGAAGTGACGTTATTGAACCAGATATGATCAATAGTCTTCTGTTCAACGTTTTCTGTTTGATATCGTGGAAACGTGACAGCATTTGCATGATTGTCCTTTTAAATAGCAAAAAATAACGCGCCAATAAGTCCCACGACTACTAATACGATCTACCTAATAGTTCTAAGGCAATTATCCAATAGGGTTCAGAAAACTTAGACGGTAATGTTGATATGAACTTTCCAAAAATATTTGATGTTCTATTTCATTTTTGAAAACAATAGTATGAACAGAAACTATCATGAATTCTCTTAGAGACCTACTAAAACAGTACATGTCTATTCTGATTGTAAAATTAAAACGATCTATCGACATCCAAAGTGTCATCTAACAAGTTTTAATAGAATCTAGTTTCTATTGATGGTGCCGGCATTTTGTTGTCCACCTACGCCCAAGAATGAAACATGACGACGAGTAAACATTATCATCAAATAGGATGAAACCGGTGAGTGTGAGTGTGGGTATGGGTGTTCATTTTTTAAGAGCAATGGAACAACCACACTCTATATTAGCTCATTGATAATCAGTACCATTGCTTGTGATTGGTGGAATTTATATAAATTTGGTGATGAACATACAAAGATGAAGATGAAATAGTGCGATAGAAATTGAATTCAACAAAAGAACTAACAATATCGATAGATGGACCAATGAAAATACGTTCGCTAGAATTTTGATCGATTCGATTTTTCTTCTCTGCTATTGTCTTTACGCGTCCATTCTATGATCCTACGTTTTATGTCGGAAGATCACCGATTTATACATATAGCGACGAAATTGAATAGGATATAATTTTTTGGATCAGTTAACCAGAGGCAGAGTTTCGTTGATGAGACACAGTTCAATATTATTCGTTGCTTTCTAGTCAATTATTTCCTACAAATATGAGACTGAATTCAGTTGTCTAATAATAATCAATGGGATGCAAGGCGAAAAAATAGAAAAACAAAAACTTTTATAGTGAAATTGCATTAATAAACAAATAGCAGAGCAATAGACGAAGAATGTGAGTGTTGATAGCCTATTCAATCACACACCCTGATCAATGATAGAGTCAACTGGTGGATTGATCAATTGACGACGATCACGTAGATCACAAGCAAAGAACCGAATACTTCCACCTTTCTTAAAAATAATCATACCTAATTTTAGCCTACAAATCAAATGGAAGAATAAATATAAATACTATTGAATTAAATAAAAACTTACATCTTGGTAAACAATAGTCTTTGCTGATAAAACATCATTGACTTACTGATGATATTTTTGAAATGCATCTATTAGAAATCTAAATATTAAAATCAATATGTGAGAGCAAATCACATCTTGCTTTGCATACATAATTTTAACTCTGGAATAAGATCTTTATTACTTCGTTGTTCAATAATACATGAATAATAATGTGTTCATGTTGAATTTATTGATACCACAAAACCAATCATTTGTGATGAACCTGATTGACAATCATGATATGTATCAATATCAATAATCAACAATCTTTATAGCTAGAAATTAATGGAAATAAAACGATTTATGATTCACACATAAGAGAAAAAAAACAAACCGAAATTTGAACAGATTATATAACATCAGCTAATTTAACATTGATTTGAGTACTGATTCCAGTTGCAATTGACATTAGTTGACCTGATTATTGTAATCTTCTTGATAAAATCATCAAGAGAAAGAAAATGAAACTGTTTTAATTTTTTTATGAAAAAAAGTCTTACTTGAGATAGTAAACAACAATCGACACCAAAATTTTTTCATTACATCATAACGATCTTTTTCATTTTCTAGTCAAAATGCAACAAATTAAATTGATTTGTGAATGAACTTCTTTTTACACTTGTACGAATGAATAGTTTTCGAACGATCATTAGGTAATTCAATGCTACTTTGTTTTTTTTCCAAAATATTCATATCGATATTCAAACAAATGAAAACTTACATTTCAGGAAAATCGACGTGCATACTTTCAAGCAAACAAAATACAACGTGAAAAAAAAACAGTGAACGAAAGCAAACTAACTAACTAAATGGTGTGCAAACTATGTCAAGAGAATTAATAAATGAATGAGCAATTTATGAATTATATAAAAAAATCATTCATGGATCTTCTTGTTCTCGAAGCACATTTAGCAATTCGTTTGTTTTCTTTAACAGTAATATTACTGGTTGTTGTTCATGTTTTATTTTAATACGATACTCTGTAGATAAAAAAAAAGAATCGAGACATGGGTTCACTTGCAGTTTTACTTAATAATGTTGACAAAGTCTTTGTCGTGTATCATCACGTTTAGTAAGTTGGTAATTCAGATTTTTATCCTAAACAATATCAAAACTCTTACATGTTTCATTATTATATCTAAACAAAAACAACAATAGACAATCTTATTTTATAGTCTAGAAAAATAGAAATGACCCTAATGATGTTGATACAATTTGTTCAACAAATTCTTTTAATGATCCATCTTGAGCTTGTTTACGTAATGGTATCATGAAAACGTGTCTAAATACTACAGTTTTATTCTTTTCTATGAATACTTATCTATCGATTTTAACCTTTATAGATATGAGCAGAGTGTAAGTGTGATGTTCCTCTTGCGTCGTCCAAGGCAACACCCACACCCTCACGAAAGAATTATTTTATTCTGGCTCATGATATCCTATGGTGCAGACGAGGTTTTCAATGAAGAATTCTTTTAGATGGAACAGAGATTATGTGTCGAAAACGAATCAATCCTTTTTTAAAACAAAATCACTTGTGTTTCAAACATTGAGAGAAATTCAAAAATAAGTTCATTAAACTATTGCTAAAGAATCGAGTTGAAATACTTTGATGTTCATCAATCAATATTTGACTAAATGAGACAAATCGAAGATTTCGCACAGATCAATGTCTCTTTTGATCTTATTGAACGACCAATTTTCTGAAACCCATTCAAGATTCAACTTGTTTATGGAAGAATTGATCGATCAATTCAATCTGAATTCGCTCATTTCCATTGATGAATCTCAAGCTCAAAGAGAATTATCTACCAGTGTTCGACATCGAACGCGATCTGGTCGAAATCTCATGTGTAATACGACCACTTTATTTATCATGGAAATTTGTTTTCTATCTGTAAAATGATTGAAAAAACTACGGTGGAATGGAGGATGTATTGGAATTGTCAGTTCACATTCGAAAAAAGGGTATTGTTAGTCAAAAATCGATCATTCATGTTTAGAAAAGTTTGAATCCTTCACTGCTCGAAATTAAGAGTCCTTAGTGGTTTTCATTATATCACAGAAATGAAGATGCAACTAATCGTTGTTTTTCTCCAAGTTGTCAACGTCGATGTCGGCTAGATAACAGACAATCAAAAAATGACTTGAAAGACAATTTCTGCGATATGCGGCAACATGTGTACTTTAAATTTGTTATGAAAAGAGCTCCGTTTTTGAAATAGTGTTAGAACACAATATCTTTCTTACCAGTTGTCTTTATCTCACACTATTTTTTATTGCGAAATGTGAAGAGTATTTTATCTCTGAGTCATAGCTCAGAATTATGATTGAGTAATTACAATGCGTATAAAAGATAAACGCTAGGAACACATTTTTAGTCGGTTGCAATGGCTGTGAAGGGAGATCTTCTGACGAATTTTGTTGAAGTTAATCGTCGCTTATGGAATGACATCGTAGATCATAATGTTACGTCGGCATTGTACGATGTTGCTGGATTTCTTCGTGGTAAAGATACATTGAATTCTATTGAACTTAACCTGCTTGGTGATCTTCGTACACAGCGTGTTCTTCATTTACAATGCCACTTTGGACTCGATTCGCTCTCACTTGTTCGGCATGGCGCAAGGCATGTTACTGGAGTGGATTTATCAGATCGAGCCATTGCCAAGGCTCAAGAGCTTGCTCTAGCAGTTCAATTGAATATGTCAACTCGTTTCATATGCTCCAACGTCTACGATTTGCATCAGCATTTATCGTGTGATGAGAACGAGCTCTTCGACATTGTCTTCACATCATATGGTGCAATAGGATGGTTACCTGATATTAATCGATGGGCTGAGATAGTTTCTAGTTATTTGAAGCCAGATGGTATATTTGTGATAGCCGAGTTTCATCCAGTGGCTCGTATGTTCGATGAAACGTTTGCACGCATCGAAAATTCGTACTTCAATAGGGCACCAATTATCAGTGATTGTGAAGGTACATATGCCGACCGTACAGCACCAATTCTGAATCCGAGCATCGAATGGAATCACAGTTTAAGCGATGTACTTCAAGCACTCATTCAACACGATCTGTGCATCAATACATTCCAAGAATTCGACTATGAACCCTTTGACTGTTTCCAAAATAACATCAAAATCGATGAAGGAATCTACAGAATCAAAGGTCTCGAAAAGAAAATACCATTGACCTACGCTATAAAAGCAACTAAACGGCGATGAATGGTCTACAAATCTGTCTGATTAATATAGAGACGTATATTTTAAAAAATTGTCAAAGTTGAATTTAAAAATTCCTTAAAATTCTAAGGTATCCACAATAATTTGATCAATTTATACTGTATGATTAGGTCAGAACCATGGTGTGAGTGGGATGTGGGTGTGGGTTGCATTTTTGGATTTAGCTGTTCATCTCATCTACACCCATACCCACACTCACACCCTTTTTTGGCAGCTTTGCCTGCATGGGTATGCTGAAAACTGATTGCCTTACGCCAAGAGAAGAGGAAAGAGGCTGCACAACAGATGTCGAAATTTTATCTAGTCACATTGGACTTGCTCACGATTTAGTTGAGAACCGAACCGTACGCCAATATATCAGTATAAAGATAGAAGAACCTCTCTCATTCACTGAACTATTTATTGGACACATCATGATTCCTTTTCCCCATGCGTGTATCTGCATGGACATGATGAGTAATACATTTACGGCTAAACAGTTTTTGATTTAAAGAGTTCAGCAATTTCTTGATCATTCAGTTCCAATTTTGATTTAAGTCACTAGCGAGGAACCATTTCCAGTGTAATCTTCATTGCAGACTACTCGTTAACAATTGTTTTTGCCAGTAGCTCTGAGAAAAAGACCAAATTAATGATCTTTATTGCACACCAACGCTATAAAAAAGAGTACATTACTCTGGTCTGTTGGTTGCACAATAACATTATTCGTGTATTAATTTGTGATAAATAGAACGAATAAGTCATGTTCAGTATGAGCGCATTTATAATTACGTGAATCCATGGTACAAATATCACTTTGGGAAGAGTTCACGAAGCTTTTTTCTACTCGACTAGTTCGACTAATAAATATATGAAAAGTTCTGAGAAGACAAAAGAATCGAATTTTCTATTACAGGTTTCGAGAAAAAATCAAAATACGATGTACATCCACAGATAGTTTACTCATTGAATTCATCAAGTGTATGTTTTGATCATCGGAGATTATAGCCTACATTGATTTGTCGATGGTCGTCAATATTTATTCAAAACCAACGCCTTCTCATGGAATGTAAAGGATAACAGTAACGAGGTCATCATGTTTTATAGTGACCTTCATTATAATTTTAGCTCTTCCGTTTTCGCTACCGATCTCTTTTGTAGACATGGCGGTTTGCTTTGCCTATCAAACAGATAATTGAAAATCTAGCCCAAGATTCTAACACTTCGTATTTCATTTTGGCCCTCAAATATTGTCTTCAATAGATTTTTTCGTTTGCTTCATTTTGTTTCGATATGGAATGATTTATGGACCATTCTCTATCTATCATATAATGTGTTAGGTCACGAATATGTTTGTCAATATTGATTTGAGCTATCGCCATGTGTTTGTAGCATTTTGTCATTCCCAGGGCGTTATTTTTCATCGTTCTTATACTTGCAGAAAAAAATCAGTTTGCTTGAAAAACATTCTTGATCACAATATATTGAGGGATTATTACACACCACAGTTCTTTCTCATTTATGAAGCATTGGACTATTATGATGTTTTCACTGTTGCTACTATTCGTATTGCTCGGATCGGCGAGTTCTTGCAAATGCATAATGAGAAAATCGTTGAGTGATGATTTTGCTCAAACGCCAATTATTTTCATTGGACGTGTCGTTGCTAAAAACAATCCAAGCACATCCTCTGGTGGTGTTCAGCTCACCATGGAAGTTGAAGAGGCATTCAAAGTAAGAAAAGGGTTCAATTTCTATATAAAATTCTATGTCACTTTATAGGGCACCTCGCCTGGTTCTCGCATCGTCGTGCAAACAAGGGAGCATGTAGTTGCATGTGGTCTTGGCATGATTCCAGTGGGCGCACGCTGGCAAATGTGGCTAAGCGAAAACGGCTCAACAAGTAGTTGTACGCGAAGCACGTCAAATATCGACACTGATCGTGTCGAGCTTCGACGTCTTGCAATTGTCAATCCCACATCAGCATCAAAATGAGAGCGCATGAAGTTCAGAGTAGAATAATTTTTCTTTTTGACAAACAGTTGTCTGGAAAAAGTATACCCGAATAAAAGCAATAAATTATTTCTTTTCCCATAAAAAAAGAGATATTCACATGTTGTCTGGAGGTATATCTACCTTCAGCACAATATTTATTCGATTACTTTACATCGTCAGTTGTATTTTTTTTTCGTTTTTTTTTCCTGAATAGTGTGTCTAATCGAGCTGAATTGTTTTATGCGGGTCTTCGGATGCCACCCACCAAACCAATTGAACAAGTACTCGATTTTACGAGATCTATTAGTTGATGATAGGAAAAGAATTGAGATATTTAAGCTAAAAGCTACATCATTAATGCAAAACGTGTCACAATTTGCCACCATTACAATTATGACGAATGTTAGCTCACGCTTGTAAAGATATAAGAGAGTATATAGAAGGACTAAACACAAGGCGATGGGAAGAAAAGAATAAGACAGCATAATGATAAGAAGTGAATAAACAACCTAATAATAAGAAGGAGAGAAAAAGAAAAGAAGTATGAGGGTGAAGGAAAAAAGGATTGAATCATTATATTTGTGCTCCTTTTTTTTCTCGCGCGTTATTTCGTTTCAACAAAAAACATCCATCTTAAAAGATACGATTCATGACGATCTATTAATTATCGTACACGACACCAACCAAAAAAAAAATGACCGAAGTGATAATTTTTTTCTTTTGTAAAACTCATCCCAAACGAAGATATCTTTATAGAAAAGAAAGAATCCAAGATTGGTCGAATGCATAGTTTTGAATCTTCTTTGGATATATATTTTTTTTACATAGAACTCTAAAGGATGTTCTAAAATGATAGTATAAAGATTGTGCGTAGGGACGAAAGGACAGTGATACATCAACCGAAGACTCAGATGAAATCTTTGTTGCAATATTTGTTGTTGAGTTTCCAGAAGCAGCGGAAACTTCTTATAATAGGTGGTCTAATAAATACACTAAGATCATCTGCGAAAAGATGACCTGAATGTGCCATTACACAGTTTATTAGATCACAGTGGAATACAATAAACAAGTATGGACTCAGACTACTACCTTGAGGGAGCCCTATTTTTATATTAAAGATCTGTGATGTTTTTTCACCAAAAACTCCGTATGCTTTTCTATCTTTTAACCAGCTTTCAGCGGTTTCCAGTAGATCGAGAGGCATACCAAATCTCCACAATTTAAATAGGAGTGCGGCATGCTAGACACGCGAGTGTGGGTGTTGTTGAAGAGAAGAGCATACTTTCACCTACACTCACATCCACACCTTCATGCTGTCTTTTCTACTGATTAATTTCAGCAAGACAATATAATACATCGCAGTATGCTTATTCATCCCAGGTCACAGTGAAAGATCATAAATTGTTCTGTCAATAATCCCTAGCAAAATACATAATCGTTAAATTTTATTAGCGATGTGGACATAAAATTACAACTTGACCGATAAAGAAAT